AAAATGGCGGGCGATGCTTGATGTGAATTTATCTTGACAGACAAAGATATCTTAAAAACACTCAGCTAGATCGCCATATTCAACAATGAGCAGGCGAAAAATAAATAACACGTTTCCAGAAAGGCTGCTTGGTGAAAGAATCCGAGAATTATCCTGGAATATGGAGATTAACAACAGATTTGAACGAAACAATGAGTGTGTGGTTTTGTCAGATACACCGTACGATGTTAACAGGTTAGATTGGCAAGGTTCTAGCACTGCAGTTCAAAATGTTTATTCATCTGACGATGAGATGGACAATATTTTTTATAAATTAACGATCTGTGATGAAATATATGTGAATAATTCAGTTGGTATGCTTGGCTGCCTCTCTGGTATGTTAGACTGCCTCCCGTCCACAGGCAAGTCAAGCATTGAAGACACTAACATTCTGATTAAAGTGCACAAAACTGTGGATGGTACTGATAGTGCACATTTTGAAACAGCTGAAGCAAAAGATGCAAACATGATTGGTGGTAAACGATTTCTGACTGTCGTTGCAACATATGAACAAATTGACAGCTTGTCGTATCTTTGTAAGAAGAGTGTTGTAGACCTTGTAGCCAACTTTGATGATCTTCATAATGAACAGTCACAATGTAAAATAATGGTATACTTGAACGAAGCAGGATTTACTGCTGTTACCGTCCCCAGCGAAGACCCATCAATGGGGAAGTCTTACAAATCTATGAAGACTTTAATGCAGTGGCTACATGGTCCATTGTTGCCTGACGTAGAAGCTCAACCAAGCAAACACTACGATGACCAGATTGAAGCTGTCTTCAGTACCTTAAAAAGCAAACACAACTGCCTTGCCAAAGCCTCAACATCAGCTGCTGACGATATCTTGCCATCTAACACATTAATTGACATAAATGATCTTGATCAACTTCAACATCTGTCATTGGTTCCATTGTTACGTGGCTATCAAAAGAGAGCTGTTCATTGGATGATTGAACAAGAAACTGTTGATACTAAAGCATTTGCAATGGGTAATGAGTGGTTTAGATATATGACAACAAGTGTAGTACAGACTAGACCAGCTCCATTTAGCTGTTCGGATATTGGGTCATACCAGAAAAGATCCATACCCCCCATGGAGGAAATCGAAAATACCCCTCTCCGGATGTCAAAGCCCAAAATTACCCCCTCGCTTATTTTGCTTACGTAATTATTGCTGTTACATAAACGTTCCGTTTTTTAAGAGCTACAGTATAGCCGATAAAAATTGTGTGCTTGCTATAATCTCCGATCACAGCTTTATCACAGTCTCAAACCTTTGGACAAACTTATATCCACATTTCCTCTCCCCCCCTTCGGACATCCCAAAGCCGGTTTTCCACTTCGCCCGTATCGTAGCGAAACGTACTGGTGAGCATGCGCAGATTGAAAAGAGGTTTATAAAACCACGTACTTCCGGTTGTATATTTCGTGTATCAAAATAAAAAGTTTGTCGCAAGTCAACTTTTTGGCGTACTACGGACGTACTAACCAATCAACATTCATGAAATTTTGAAATTTAAAAACGTTTTTGATATGTTACGGTACGATACGCTTGAAGTGGAAAACAGCCTTAAGACATTTTTCCTCCCTCCCCTTTCGAACAGCAAAAATTTCCTCCTTTGGGGGGTATATGGATATTTTCTGGAATGACCCATTCCGGATTTTCAGAACATTAATAGAATTGCAGCCTTCCTCTGAGGCATTCACACAGGTCCATAAAACCAAGTATAAAATGCAACTGCAAAGTAAATGAGATCTGCAAAGATGCTATTGTGTTAATATGGAATGATGAATGTCTTGCATACTACATTCACCTTCAAAGACACAATTCCTTCTCTCACTAATTACTTGGATATTTCTTTAACTAATGTATTGTTGCATTGCAACAAGCAATATCTTTGAAAGGGGAGATGTGCTGATCCTGAAAAAATATGATTGGCCAATGCAATTCATTGCCAGACTATGAATATACGATCTGCATTTTTGGTTCATTACTTACCATCTTGACTCATTGAGCACCACTGCTCTCCCCTTGTCAAGTAAAATTGTCTGGTGTTAGACAGAGTAAAATAATAAACTACTGTAGTAAGTATAGGACACAGTTGGGTTCACAGAAAGTAGCTCATTTAATTAATCATCTATTTTAGAAAACAAGATTCCTCATCCTCTCTGGAAAACAATGAATCTCGGTGACAAGCAAGCATGTTATAATCCACATACTGGACGGTAAGATAACCTTATTTGCACAGTATTACAGTATTAGGGCCGCCAAGAGCTTGGCTGGGGCCCCGGGGCAAATTTTTTTTGGGGGCTCCTATTTCAAAATTTTATCCGGAAAATTTTTTTTTTGGACAACAACCTTTTTCAGACAACTTTTTTCGAGATTAGTTTGTACTGTTGTAAATAGTTTTTATGTACGTCTGTATTTGTGTTGTCTTGGTGGGACTTAATTGGGAACTTCTGTTCCGTTGTCCTGACCTTCGATCTTATTGTTTTTGCGGACAAGTGTGTTGTAATTGCTTTCTAGCAACTTTACCTCAATTTTTCATACCAAATTTCGGTACTTTGCCCAAAAAAACAAATATCTTGCCCTTTGCATGGAAATATTTCACCCCAAAAAATGACTGGGGCCCAACAAAAAATTTCTAGGGGCCCCCAGAACATGGGGGCCCGGGGGCAATTTACCCTGAGTGAATTGCTGCAGAACAATTAATGATGTATGGTACTCACATAAAAAAAACATTGAGCCAAGAATGATTGAAAAGTACTGTATAAAATGTGCACAGTATAATATTCAATACTCAGAACTTACCAAGGTACAAACTGCCAATTTATGTTTGTTGTTTTTGTTTCATGCACATAATAAGTAAATAAATAATAATAAAGACTTTATTTACAGTAAACTGTTAAAAATTGAGCAATCTGCTGATATTAACGGGAGAACAGTGATTACAATTATCAACGTTACACTTATTTTATATATACAGTACAATACAAACATGTATACTATATTCCTATACACAACAAATACATATGAGACTTATTGTCAACAGTGGTGCCTAAATTACTTTGAATTTGTACTTGAGTAAAAGTAGAAGTAATTGACAATAAAATGACTTGAGTAAGAGTAAAAAGTACTGGAAGCAAAACGTACTTAAGTAAAAAGTACAAAGTATCCTTAAAAAATACTTGAAGTACAAAGTAAAAGTAAAAGTACTATTGTCTGTAGCGTGTAGAGGGGGAGGGGGACTTCTCCATTGATGGGATTGAGATACAAAAAATACAAAACAGCACACGCATTATAAATATGCATTATTTCACAGCATGGTCTACTTTCCAGACCCCGTTGAAGATATAAGAAATCTATTAAATAAATAATACTTATAAGTAAGACACAAACGAGAGATCCCAGACGCATGTAGAGGTCCTATTACCTATCCCAAAATTAAAATAAATCACACAAAAATAAACAAAAGTTAAAAAGTAACAAAATACTTCGCCACACAATGAAAATAAAGTTACTTCTTAAAGTAAGTAAAACGTTACTTCTTAAAACAACTTCGTTCCAAGTAAAAGTACTCCAGAAAAAGTTTACTTTGTTACATGCGGACTTATCAAAAATAGTACTTGAGTACAGTAATGAAGTACATTTACTTCGTTACTTGACACCACTGATTGTCAAGTTCTAAAAGATGCATATAAACAGTATGTTTAAATTTTGAGAAGGATATCATTTCTCTAATATTTAAAGTTAAAGAGTCTTTTACACCAGCATACTTAAATGTTGATTGACCTATTGCACTGTTCACCTTCGGAAGATCAAGCAGCATCTTATCCCTCAGGTCTCTGTTGTGCATGCAACGTCTGAATTTGAACGTATCTCAGTCTATTAAGTTTAAGATACACTATCTTGAAAATACCTAAGATGCAATGTCAGAAGCTTTAGTTCGCTCATGCGCATCTCTTGAGAACATTTTCGCCTCCCTTGGTGAAGGATAATCCTCAAAGCACGATTCTCCAGTTTCTTGACCCACCTCGTTCGAATTGTTCCGCACTTTTATGGTCAGCATGAAAAAATTGGATAATTCAAAAATTTTAGTCCTACTTCACTGGTACTCCAATATGATCATTGCCGCATACTTGAACTTGATCTAGACAAATATTTCATCACAGCTTGAAAGAGCATCACAAAATTAGTAATATTCCAAAGTTTCGTTGCGAAATGTTGTAAAATGCGGAAAATATAACCTTTTGAAATTTTCAGTCATTTTAGATTACAAACGGGAAATTGATGCCCCAACACCCGATTGGGCTGTCAATTTCCCGTGCGTATAATACAAAATGACTGAAAAACGGCAAACTTCGCTATATTATCCGCATTTTACAACATTTCGTAACAAAACTTTGGAATTTTACTAATTTTGTGATGCTCTTTCAAGCTGTGATGAAATATTTGTCTAGATCAAAATTTAGTCTATAATGCAAATGGTCCATTGCCTCCAACATTCTATAGTCCCATATTGTACACCCAGGCCATCCGTCCAGTCATATTTCATGCCAGGATATCTCAGACTTGCACAGTTATGCTATGCCCTCACCATATGGGCTTATGCTCTGTGGCACTGCCAGGTTTTTTTTCTGGAGGAGGGGGGAAAACTGACAATTTGTGGGGTCTACTTCTAGGGGTCTGGGGGCATGCTTCCCCAGAAAATAATTTAATTTTGGGTCTCTGGAACAGCATTTCCTGCATTGTTAAGCACCTGGCAAAAATGTGAACGTCTTAAAATGACCTTTTAACGGTGTGAGCAAAGGCTTGATTCATCGGGTTTGAACAAATCTAAAACTACATTTTGAAGAGCACCCCCTTGGTAAGAGCATTGTTTATGTCCTGATGCCCATGCATGCTTTGCACATGACTCAAGGATTATTTTGTACATCATGAATAGGTACATCGGATAATGTGTACGTGGATGTTTATCAGCAGGAAGTGGAAGAACTAGTGAATGAAAAGACATAGTCTGAGTTACGAGGTTTTATCCTACAGTATAACCAAAACATTGTGTGATAATAAAGGTCAAGACTATAGTCATATAATCACTGCAGGCGGCACGAATAAATAAACTTTATTTGGTATTATCCTGTAGTCAAAGAATTTCGTTATATTATTCATTGAGTTTTTTAAACATCCATCTATACTCTATAGTCTTAAAATTCCGGTGCTATAGTCACATGCATGCCTCAACTCAGCTCTGAGCACACTCCTTATCAAGCATGCGAGCATTTGGCTCCTCTTGTCAAGCTGTGTGATTTGCAGCATTTATGGAAAAAGTGCAAATATGTAACCTGTAAATGTGTACTGTGAATTACAGATAAATAATGACACTGAAAATCGCGCTGTGCGTGTGAGGATTTAACCGATTAGTGCGCAAGACTCTCCTCTTGACGAGTAAAATTATCTGGTATTAGATAGAATCAAATAGTAAAGTCGGGTGCATTTGAGCGCGTTGCAACCATTGGACTACAGTATAAGTAAACTGAACTCCTATGATGAAGTCCTATGATTCATTAGCCTTCCAGTACAACCATTGAACTATAAGTAAGCTGAACTCCTATGATGAAGGCCTATGATTCATTAGCCTTCCAGTGTACTTATAGTTCAATGGTTGCAACTCATTGGCTTCTTTCTGACAAAATAAGTTGATACATGTTTTGTTGCAGATTATGCAAAGATCCAGTTTACCATCAAGGTTATCCCTCTGGCGGTATATTAGCTGATGAAATGGGGCTTGGAAAAACTGTCGAGGTCCTTGCTTGTATCTTAAATAATCCGAGACAATCGGGAACCAAGATCAGTGAGTCAAATGAAGAGATATTGCAAACTGAGTCAAATACTAACTCTCCCAGTGATTCTCCCAGTAGCTCGATGTCTGTTAGCGATGAAAAAGAGACGTTGGTGACGTATTCCAGTCGTAATGAAGTCAAGGTTTGTGAGAACAATCCGAGTTCACCTAAAACAACTGAAGAACATCATGTTGCCGAAGTAACCAAACGTCATTTGCCGCTTGATTCTGATCAACATGGAAAGAAGGCAAGAATGGAATCTTGCAATATTTCACCTCCTAATGAACTAGTATCAGTTACAAGAAATGTCATTCAACCTGATGTCTTCAACAAACCTCCTTTGCCGTGTGATTCTGACCAGCACGGAAAGAAGGCAAGAACGGAAAGCTGCGATGTTTCGTCACCACCTCCTAATGGCAATGAACCAGTATCAGTTACAAGAAATGTCGTCCAACCCAATGTCTTCAACAAATCTCCTTTGCCATCTGATTCTGACCAACACGAGAAGAAGGAATCCCGCGATGTTTCTTCACCAAATCCTAATGAACCATCATCAGTTGTGAAAAATGTCGTTCAACCGAATGTCTTCAACAACTCTCCTTTACCGTCTGATTCTGTGATCTCCAATATCATTGTAGGCGAAGAAAAGATGGACTGTGATACTTCAAAAGCAAGTAAAGATAACGTAATTTCTGATCGTTTTCAAGAAGTGAAGATTGAAGTTCAGCCAGAGAGCAAGTCACCAACGGTTGAGAAAGAGAAAACTCTAAGATGCATTTGTGGCAAAAGTAAAGCAGATCCCAAGGAAGAAGTTCTGACTTGCACAAACTGTTATCTTTGCCAACATCCTCAGTGTATTGGATTGAAGAAGAACACTGATGAGGACTATGTATGTCCTGATTGTTCTGTGAAGATGGTAAGTGGCTTTGATGGTAAGATGAAGCTGTTGCCACACTCATAACAATGTTCAAATGTATGTTTTCTTTTGCAGCCATTACTGGAGTCTAACACAACTCTCATTGTATCCCCGGTTACAATTGCACATCAATGGCTTGATGAAATCCATCGTCACATATTGCCTGGCTCTCTTAATGTTATGGTACGTTATACAATATGTATTGTGTAGTTATTTATACACCAGGCGGAAATCTTAAACCTGGATGAGACCAGGATGAGAGTTAACGCGACCTTGGTCGGCTATTCTTAATGCTTTCCCAACACGATCATGTATTGGAACACTCATCAAACCGTTATTTTGTTTCGAGCTTGAAATGTCCCGCATAACAACGTGTGACTGCCAACTCTTATCAACTCTCACCCTTATCCCAGCAAGTAATTTTTTTCCATACGTATTGTAGCTGACGTTTTGCTGTATATGAAGATGTTGTACTGAAGATGTTTTACTGTATACAGCAAAACGTTAGCTAATAAAATTTCATGAAATATGTATGGTATAAAAATTATTTGCTGGGCTTTTATTCATTTTGAAACTATGTATTGTGTACATACTGTATGTACTGTCGAGGTGCACCGGAACTCGCTTTCGGCTGGTTAGTTAGGGTTTCAGCCACGAGTGATGAAAAAAGCATGACCAGAACCCTGTCTTCATTAGGAAAAAGAATGTAAAGATCATTTACTGATGAACATCGACCAAATAATTGGTCACATTACTGACATTATTTGAAATACATACTACCATAGACATGTATAGAGCGTTTGCTCTCATTCCCCAGGGACCAACTCAACAAAAGCCATGGCCGCCATGTTGGTGTTCCAGACAAAAGAGTCTAAATAAAATTATTTTGAATTGAAACACCAACATGGCGACTGTGACGTCATGTGCAAACGCTCTATTCCAACTTTTAAAGTTGACAAATTAAGTAACATACAATCAGAAACGGTTAAATATGTAATGTAACTCGGTTCCGGCCGGATTTTTTCCAGCTCCAGTTTCGGCCGGAACTTAAAATAATAATGGTTCCAGTGCTCCCCTATACGTAACATGAACATACTGTAATGTATGTGACAGTAAACCATTCTACAGTAATGTGCTGGAGTGTGGGAGGACGTTTCTGAAATTTATTTCATATGCTGAAATTGAAATTACAAATAACTAATTAGCATTTCGTGCGCTTGGTGTATGTGCCATTTTTGAGGTACTGCCTCTTCCACGTCTGAGAGCGTACACACCGCGAAATGCGAGTTTTATCACTGTAGTTGTGTGTGGTAAATCTACAGTAACAACTTTGAAAAGTCGCTTTTCACATTGCTTGCGATTGACTCTTACCGATGGAATTTTAATCATTTATAGACCCTCCGCTTGGGGGATTCGGCGATAATATTTCGCCGAATTTCACCAATCACCCGAGCGATATGATTGATTGAAATCACCTGTTACGTCAAATACGATGACGTAAGGCGTGATTCGATGGTAAATTTTATGCTCACTTGGCAGAAACTTAGCTTTTTGATTGGACACTTTGAATTTGAGGTATAATATTACTGGATAGCTCAGGAGTTGAGTCTCTCAACATTGTATTGTTTTATTTAATGTATCTCTAATATTAACTTGTCGAATATTTGTAGATTTATGAAGGAGTGGCTAAACAAGGTTTTGTCTACCCCTCTGTCCTGGCTGATAATGACATCATTCTCACAACTTATGAAGTGCTTAAAAGAGACTTCCATCACTTGCCTTCCAAAAAAGGTACATACCCTGTATATTGATTTACTCTGCTTGTACATAAGTTGGTCATGTATCTCCATGAAACTGCATGTTCTGCAAATTATTGTGTCTTTAGCAGTTGAAGGGATTGATATATAGCAAATTCTAAATATTGATACGGTGATACAGTAATATAAGATAAATAAGGAAAAACTGTTGTACTGTATGAAGTTATTGTTTAACGTGAGGATTGTTTAATGAAAAATGTTTTTACTCTAGATAACCACAATTACCGCCGTCCTAAGAGATATGCAACATGGCCATGTCCACTGACGTGCATTAAATTTTGGAGGGTAAGTTTTTAGTTTTCATTCATATAGACAATGACAGAGGTTTGCGATTCTGATCAGCGCGAGCCTTCGCCTCAGGCGATGATGATTGTGATACATGTACGTTTACACTGTTTACACTGCCATCGAATGAAAGCTTGGCTTTAGCCCATGGCTAGGCTAAGAAAGCTAGGTGAGCCCAGATTTTGTGGCCTTGGTCGAACCGAGGTAGACCAAAGTTGTTTCTGTTACAGTATCGAAATGTAGGCCAAAGCAAGGCTCAAGCCAGGTCAAGATTCTCAGTGTAAACATGGCTTCAAAAGCCGGCTTATTGTTCGCTGCTTTTGATTTAACGGCTGGTAAAAATCTATCCCAGAAATTGTTCCCTTTACTTAGTGGTCCGCCTTGTCTTACGAATCTTGCTTTTTCCAAAGTTTCTTAATTATTGGCAGTGAAACTTCTCGAAGCTCTTCAAAAGCTCGTAACGCGCTCGAACAACTATCGCATTCAGCAAGAAACAACCGTAATTCTTCCGTTGAACAAAAATATCGAACTACTCCACGCCTCTCCGTGAACAACTGAACATGTTACCTCTTACGGCACTTACAGTATAGTGGCTACAATGCACTTTGCTACATCGTGTGCATTCCACAAATGTTCATCGTATTATATTAAATCAATTTAGATTTGCCTCGATGAAGCCCAAATGGTGGAAAACACCACCGCTAAGGTATAGTTTATTCTCTGGTACGAAACGTTCACATGTAGCCAGACAAATCATTAATGCAGATGTATGTCGATTTTTTCAAATTCACTTTTTAGACGACAGAAACGGCATTGAACCTTTCAGCTGTCCACAGGTGGTGTATAACAGGAACACCCATTCAGAAGACTATTGATGGTAAATATAGAGCAAAACACTGCACAGTTGAGGAATTACAGGATTACTGTATAATGACCTGAAATATACTCAATATAACGTAGCCCGTTATATATACTGTTAAGTTTGAGTCAAATTTTGATCCATCATCATTGGACGTTTTTCAAGGAGAGGTGAATGAATTTTCAAGAGAGGTGGAAAGAATCTTAGGGAAAATGCAAAGCTATCTCAGGGGAGGTGCGCACCTCCCCACGCCTCAAAATCCGGCTGGTGCAACGTACACCGCGAGTACTCGGTTTTCTCACATGAGTCTACTGTGTACTAGTCTCTTACCCACAAGATGTTAACGGTTTTTGTAGATGGAAATTTCTAGCGAAAATACTGTATATATACAATTAACTGTTTGGGTTGCGAGTTGGATGTCCCCAGAAAAGACATTTGGGCGTCTTGTCCATGCATGAATACTACTGTATATGGCAATTTCATAACTTGTTCATCCCTACTTTTTGAAGCTTCATTTCGACCTATACTCTATGTATGCATGACATCCGTGATGTTTTAGCAGACCATAACGAATGTACTTTGAATAATCCATTTACTTTCATCGATAATTTGCTTGCAATTTTTCTAGACCTTCATGGCTTATTCCTGTTTCTTGGTGTTGAACCATACTACAGAAAAACATGGTGGAAAAAGTTGCTGTACGAACCATTCATGAGAGGAAACTCAAAACCTCTCAGTGATGTTCTTTATAATGTTATGTGGAGAACAGCTAAGAAAGATGTCATTGACGAGGTATGTTGAATGTTTGTGTCCAACCAAACCGGGTTTTAGTATAGATTTCAGCATGATACATAGAATTGCAGGTATACAAAGTGAAAAGTGTTTCATAAACCACGCCACGGCAGTATATTACATGTAATGATACAATCATATTTATACTAATTTGTTCAATAAAACGAGTATTACTGCTATCAATCATACATGCACCTGTGTTTACACTAGTACATTATATACTAAACATTTAGACAAACAATTAACTAATTATATTACAATGTATCTGAACCTAACAAGTTAAAAGAGTAAAAAAATCCATGGCCTAAGAGAGACGTTTTCATTCCATACATGCAGTTATATTATATTTTAAAATAATTAGATCAGTCAATTTATAAGATTAGTTTTACAGTAAATGATGAATAGAGTTTTCATGTCCTTAATATGATTTTTTTCTGTGTTGGTGTTGTGTACTCAGGTGAATATGATATTTGTGATGTTACTCTGAGTGTATATCCACAACGGGCGAGCTTGAAAAATATGCCACGGTGGGATTCGAACCTACGACCTTTGGAATACTACAGTAGCCCAATACTCTTCCAACTGAGCTACGCGGTCAGGACGGTTCGAGTAAGTGATATTTCAGAACAGAATCTAGTTCCTTCGATACCAATGTAATCTAATAATATGAAGGTATCGAAGGAACTAGATTCTGTTCCGAAATATCACTTACTCGAACCGTCCTGACCGCGTAGCTCAGTTGGAAGAGCGTTGGGCTAGTATTCCAAAGGTCGTAGGTTCGAATCCCACCGTGGCATATTTTTCAAGCTCGCCCGGTGTGGATATACACTCAGAGTAACATCACAAATATCATGTCCTTAATAGTTTTCATGTTCGCTCACTCGGTGCAGATAAGCCATGGTTACCTCAAAGCTCCCTCCATGCTGTTGAGTTTGGATAATCACAAGAAGCATCTTCGTTAGGCTGGGATATATCATTGAATTTTTCCATTTACACTGTGTTGTAATAGACCATCGTGGATCTTTTGGCCCATAACCACCGCTTAGTTATTTTGGTTTTTCTTCCCCAGTATAAGCTCTTCAGAAATGTTTCTGCCCGTGATGGAAATTGAAGCCGCATGCACGAGGTCAGACATCCGATCAAACGAGAGTTGCACGACAGTTGACTGGATATTCCCGCGCTAACGAAAATTCTCATCAAAATTCGAAAGAGCTCAAAGTTGATAGAGCATGTGTTGAGCTCCTGATTGCATGAAGTCGATGAATGAGAGTCAGTGAGAGTTGTGAAAACGCGAGCGACTCTTGTCATCCTCGACTTGAACGTTTTATAATTTGTTTTGTCGATGGAAATTTTCAAGTGTAAATTTTATACATTTGTTAGACGTAACCTAGAGCAGTTGCGAAAAGTATATATAAAGTATATATAAAGTATATATAAAGTATATATAAAGTATATATAAAGTATATATAAAGTATATATAAAGTATATATAAAGTATATATAAAGTATATATAAAGTATATATAAAGTATATATAAAGTATATA